TATTTCATACCCAAATTTTGACTGCCATGGAATAGTAATAGTCTATTCACTGATAATAAAGAAATATGGTTTTCTCAAGACGGCACGTGTACTGAGTTTAGTGTACTCCCACACTTTCTTCTTGTAGCTGTCACACAGAATATCAAGTTTATCTATCCTGTTGTTGCAAACATTTCAACTGAACCATCACGACAACTGTCTTTTCATTGTAAAGAGCATTGCAAGGCACTGGACATGTGCACCAGCAATACATTTGTTTAGTTTAGTTTAGTTTTGATTCAGACTTTGCATTATTTTGTTTTTCGGATTCGGGTCCAAAATTAAATTTGTTTCGGACGAAATTCGTTAGCGGTAGTCCGCCCGAAATTCGTTTATGGACGAATTTCGTTGCAGCAAAATTACATTAGGGAAATTTTTTTTTTCTTAGTCTGCAGATGAAAAAAAAAAAAAGCGTGAGGTCCCCCCCCAATTCATACCTTTTAGGTCTGGTAGGAATGTTAAAAAAGTCCAGACTTTTGACAAAATCCTTTTAATTGAAAAAAAAATTTTTTGACTATTCTTTTAATCATTTTTTTTTAATGGATCAATTGATGTAATCCAGCGTCAATCAGGATGCAGTACCCTCCCCACCCGCCAAAATTAAAAAAGTCCCGCCGCACGACGACCACGCCAACCCGACGAAAACACGCCGCATAATGACATTCAGCCCGAATATCAACAGATGGGCGGAGCGAGCCGTGGCGTCACAGCTGTCGAATGCTACATAGCATTCGGGAACTCCCGAATACTATTCATGAGTTTCCAATTGCTATTCAGGTCTGTGAGCCGAGATGTCATAATTCTTTTCAGATGGCACCTCGGCTCACAGACCTGAATAGCATTCGGAAACTCATGAATAGTATTCGGGAGTTCCTGAATGCTATGTAGCATTCGACAGCTGAGAATGTCAAATGGGCGGAGCGATCGCTCCGCCCATCTGTTTATTTTCAAGCTGAATGTCATTTTGCGGCTAGTTTTCATCGGGATCGGACAGGCGTCCTGCGCCGGGTCGGCGGGGGGCCTGCATCCTGATTGACGCTGGATTACATCGATGGAGCCATTTTTTTAATTAAAGGAATAGTCAAAAATTGACTTTGTTTTTTTTTTCCAATTAAAGGATTTTGTCAAAAGTCTGGACTTTTTACTAACTATTTGATTTAACCCTTTAGTGAATGGGTAGGGGTACAAGTACCCCTTACTCATTCACATGGGGGGCGGCATCTGGATGCCCCCTTATTTAAAGGGGTACCCCGATGCAAATAAGCCCCCTAAAAAATTTTTAAAAAAAAAAAGTTTTTTTTTACATTATGTTATTAAACATTTATTATTACCCAGTTTTTTGGTAAAAAAAAAAACTGTCAACCCTTAAAATTGCGCGCACCCGCGAAATCGCAGAAAACTACCATACCCAAAATTGGCCATAGACGGCACTGCCAAAAAGGAATCAAATTTAGCCATATTTAAGAAGTAGCACATGTGTCTGATATAAAATGTGGAAATCTGAAAGTCAACCCTGTTCAGTATTGATCAAACTAATTATTTTGCTTTTCCAAATGCTTTATTCAAGAGAAAGCAAAAGACTGCATACAGTGTTCTAAGTGGGATTCTTTCTAAGATGTTAGATGTGTGCTTTAAAACATGTCCCCTTATAGGAGAACTATGAGGTGAGTGATTTTCGCTCAACCTCATAGTTCGAGCCGGCATGTGACAATGAAACTGTCACATGTCGCCTCAATAGATCGGGAAGTGAGCGAACACATACCGTCGCTCGCTCACTTCTCGATCATGTCACTGCAGAGAGTGGTGACTGTCACTCACGGCTCCCTGCAGGAATCCCCCCCCCCGCTCCGATTCGCCAGCGCTGACTGGCGGAACGGACGGGGAGGGGGCGGGCACAGCTGGCTCTGCCTCTAGATGGGCAGAGACAGCTGTCAATCACGCACCTGGGTGGATCTCGACAGTAATGTCGGGATCCATCCCGGCTGCGGCGGTCTCAGTATACCGCGAGCTGTATACTGAGCTTTGGGTCACGGGAGGACGCTAGTTTTATGTCCTCCCGTGACCCTTAGGAGAGCTATGGGGAAAAGCCCTGACCCCATAGTTCTCCTTTAAGATATATTTTCCTTTTATTTTATCCTTAAATATACTGCATATGGGGAGATGTTATAAATAACTAGAATTTGGAATTTAAAGCAAACCTGTGTTTTTAGCTTATTTAAGGCAAAGCAACAGAGTGTTTTAATCTCACCATCCTCAGCAGTATATACTTGTCTTTTCTTTGTTCCCCACCACTGCGCTCAGCGTTTGGATCGGAAAGAAATATCTATATTGCTCATCTATATTATTTCAGTTCCACATTAAAGAATATATGAGCCAAACTACAGTAGAATAAGCTTCATATCTATGGTGTAAGTCAGTTATCAGCTCCATGTGCCCCCTAAAACCCCATGAGTACACCATGCAGTGGGGTGGCTTATATCAAGGATCCCCTGCCCATGTGTACCTTTACTGCCTTGTACCCCTTTTTTATGTAAAAAAGTTTTCAAACTATCATCTATAAGTGGAATTTATCAAAACGGGAGCAGACAAAATCTGGAGCAGATTTGCACTGCAACCAATCAGCTTCTCTCTCTCGTTTTCAAATCTTACCTGGTCGAACTGAAGAGAGATGCTGATTGGTTGCCATGGGCAACTGCTCCAGATTCTGTTTTCTCCAGTTTTGATAAATTCCCCCATATGTGTTTAAATCATTTTAAATAATTTCAGTAAGTTAACTTCAGTAAGTTCACTTCATGGATCTTGTATGTTGGTTCCATTTAGTTGTTGACAGGGAGTTCTCAATATATTAATCAAATATATAATATAGAATATGTCTTTTAATCTGCACATTTAAAAGCTAAACATGCTAAGGTATATTTTACTAAGTATAGCACTAAGAAGTAAAATTAATTTCCTGGTGATATTACAGGAGCAGGAAATATAGCACAGATACCGATCCAGTCATCCTTTTCTCAGACACTGAACATTATCTATGGACTGAGGCAGGGTGATGCATTGCATGTATTTTATTTAAAGTGACCATAGTGTAATTTATCTGAGAGGCAGGCAAACAAAAACATGCTACGTTTTTTTCAAACAGTTGCAGATCCTAGAGTATATTGGTGATATAGAGATTATTGCAAGATCTGAGGATGTACTAATTGTAAAATATAGCACTAAGGATGGCTCTTGTGGTCAATTTGGAAAAAACAAAATAAAAAAAAACAAAATAAAATACTGTTTTCTGTATAATAGAGGTACTAAATGGTGACTTTTGGTGCCCTCTCTTAGACTGGACATTTAGTTTTAAACATTTTAAATGTTCGAATGTTTTATTTCAATAGTTACATAGTAGGTGAGGTTGAATAAAGACACAGGTCCATCATGTTCAACCTGGTTTATTCCACTGTAATGCATGCAATTTCTCTGAGCCACCTTCCCAATTGTAAAAAGGTTCTGTGGAAATTTACTGTTGACTTCCTAGAACAGGTATGTTCCTCCATACAGTAGCATAGGTCCATTTACCTTTGCTGTGATATGGCATCCTTTGTAATACTACCTATAACATGCAAGCAATTAATAAAGTGTAGTATATGTACCAATAATGTTATCAATACTAACTACTACTACGAATTTTGTAAAAAGTACAGTGAAATCCAACAATGATATCCTAGATATTGACAGCAGAGGCCCGAAAATATGACCAAACTCATGTTCATTAAGAGAAATAATTGATGAAATATGAGTGCTACCATTCCCGATCACCATTTCAAAATGCTAGAACTAGGCCTGAAATCACTAATACCAAGGGTTGCAATAAAAGCCCACTCTTAAAACTACCATTTAGCTATCTAAAGTACTTCAGCTTATTTTTCTATTAGAAAGCATTTTGAGAATGTGCTTCAGGTTTGGGCACCCATTCACAAAAAGGATGTTGCAGAACTGGAGAGAGTGCAGAGTAGGGTAGCTAATTAAATGAGAGGCATGGAGGACCCAAGCTATAAGGAAATATTGAAATTAACTTACAATTATTCTCTGTTGAAGAGGTGTTTAAGGGGGGCTATCATCACCTTTTTATCACCTTTTTATAAGTACATAAATGGTCTTGGTGCAAAGTTTATAACTTTAGGGTAATAAGAAATGACACGGGGACTCTGCCTCTGGAGGAAAAGAAGCAGAGCCTGCATATGAAAATATGTTTTTACTGTAAGAGCTGTGAAAATATGGAACAGACTTACACAGAAGCTGGCTCTGGCCAGCTCATTAGATTTCTTTTTTTTGTGAGTTGATGCACGGAATAATTGATTTCCTTAGAGGATCAGGATGGCGTTTTATCCAGTTGGAGCGCATTGCACCACGCTTTTAAGTTTTTTTGCCTTCCTTCAAATCAACTGCTTTGTTTAGGCTTCTGAAAATGCAGATTCTTTTGTTTACTTATTTTTTCTTTTTTTAAACCAAGTATTTTTTTTTCAACCTAACTATGTAACTTTGCAATTACAGACCATAGTTGCCTTTTGCCTATTTGTACTCCCAGCATTCTCTAGCCAACATCACTCAACTGTCCTGTAAATTACAGTATTACAAAAGCTTCATATTGTCTACCATTTGCAGTTACATATTTGCTCTGGTTTTTATGTTAGCATGCAAGCTTTATTGCTAACTAAGCTTTTGCCTTCCTAAATTAGGAAACCTTATTAAAGGGCAAATTGTGGCTTCACCCTGGCAGGTTCTGGGGCATAGGAAGGCCTTGACCCTTTTGTGTCTGACATACAATGTCATAAAAATTATAATATATGTGCTTATGTTCAATTTATTGTGTATAATGTATATTTGATGTTTCTATATGTGGAAAAAATAATATACAGTATTTAGCAAAATGATTAATATTAATTTGCTGTTTAATTTTTCAAAAATCTCTACAGGTGTTTTTGGGATATGCAGCGAACCGTACATGAAATATGTTTGGAATGGACAACTTTTAAAGTGTGTGAAAGACATTGTACATCGTGACTGGCTGCTTTATATAATTCATGGTTTTTGTGGACAGTCAAGTATCCTTTATAACCTTGGTTCTCAACTGGTGGGTCATGACCCAAAAGTGGGTCACGACTCCGTGTTCAGTGGGTCACTGCATGCCTTTCACTTTTCTAGGCGAGAGGCTCCCCTGCCTCCCCCTTGCGCAGCACTGTCAGTTCTCTCGCCAAGCAGCCATTCAAAATATGCTGCCCGGCACTGACTGTCAGCTTGAGGGGGGATGAGATGGGGCTATGACCGTGAAGGAGCTCCATCCATACATACATTGCTTACAGCTCCCTCACATGTCCTATAGAGGTGCCTGGACCAGAGTGACCTTACATTCTGGCTCCCCGCACCTCTACAGGACATGAAATGGAGCCGTAGAAAGCAATGCACATATGGATGGGGCTCCATCACAGCACAGCAGCCCACACTGGACCTCAGGCTGAGGATACACTCTAGTTCTTGTAAGGTAGGGAGACTGGGTGGACCCCCCCAAAAAACAATTTTTTTGCAGTGTGCATGTGTGTGTGAGATTGTGTCTGTGTCTGTGGTTGTGTATGTATGTCAGTGTTTTTGAGGGCCCGTTCACACTAGTACAGTGCATTAATCGCATATTACCGTGTGAGTAAGACAGTGTACCACGCAATCGCATCTACCGTGCATTCTGGTGTGGGAGATGTGTTGCGTTGCCATTCAATTGAATGGTACCCCAAATGCACCTCCCACCCACAGTTAAAATAGCCTGCACTGGAACGCGGGGTACCCTAATTCTGTGCATTCCATTGCGGTGTGACTTGGGTCGCCACTTAATGACCAGGAACAAATGTGGGTTCTGAGGTTAGATAGTTTGTAAACCACTGCTTTACAACATGATCAATGAAATGTGAAAGAAAGATGAGTTTCATATTATGCAATGACTGTAATGAAAGTGTTTTTCCTTAGAAAACTGTGAAAAATATTGTTTGTGTCGCATAATATTAGTTCACTAAAAATTTTATCTTTCTAGTGAATGTAATTTACTATTTAAAGCATGATCAGCATAATCTGTGCATGTTAAGTCACATGTCGTGAATAGTTTATATATCACAGATCTATTATTTGTTCAGTTTGCTTTAGTCCATTATATCACAAATTTTGCCTAAACAAATCTACCAAGAGCTGATAATTTATGGCCGGCCAGTCTATGTGACTCTGATGGCAAGAAGATCAAGCAAATTTGCTGGGACACGTTTTTTAAAGAGAGGAGCAAATTGTGAGGTGAGGCTTAATGTTTTGAGTGCTGAGTGTTTAGTAAGAGGGAGGATTTAATAGTATTAAAACTGTATTAAAGTTGACGTGTCATTAAAATTCACACTTTACATAAATTACCAGGGCACATTTCAGCATAAACATATCACATAATTATTTTAAGTAAAAAACTGCATAAATAAAAAACACTGGGGGGGGGGGGGGAGATAAGTGAACTGGAGTAGACAAAATCTGGAGCAGCCGTGCATGGCAACCAATTAGCTTCTCTCTTCAGTTTATTCAGTTAAGATTTGAAAATGAAAGTGGCTGATTGGTTGCCATGCACAGCTTCTCCAGTTTTGAGAAATTCTCTTCACTTCAAGATCCCACCCTAGGCATCCTGGATCACATTGCTGAGCATTGTCTATGTTTCATGGCATTAGGGACTTCTGCAAACTTTCAGTGGAGTTTTGTGGGTTCTAGTCCTGCTAACATTTCCTGCCCATGTTGTAGTGTTCAAACTTTTCCTGATGCATTTTACATGGTATAAAAATATGTAAAATCTAACAGGAAGACTAAACCCCTACATTTATAGCCTAGTCTGCATATCCGGGAAAACTCAAGCCCAGATATCTTGCTGCAGGAACCCCTAAGAGACATACAAAATCATTAGGTGGCTTAACTGCCCAGCATCTACCAAATGCTGAAATACCAGTTTTGGAAGGCTTGCTTTTTTTAAATTAAATACATAATTTTATCATTTGAAGCAGCTGTTCTTTATTTAAGGCATGCATTCAAATCCTGTTTTCTAGCCATAAGCAGAAGGACAAGGGAAGACTGCAAAATCAGGAGGATCTATAGAAACCATTAGGACTGGGAAATTATCTCCACTTGGATATAGCAACATTGTAAATAATTTAAAGTGCGGCCACAGGGCTAAAAGAAATGATACTTATAGATAGCTATAAATCGGTAAAAAATGTTATTAAACTTGGGTGTTTCTCTTGTCTTTTAGGGTGATGTTGCCAATGAAGTAGAGACAGAGCAAATCGTGCACGATGCCTCTGTGATGTCATTTACTGCAGGAAGCTATTCCTCCTATGTACAAGTCCGTGGCTCAGTCCCTTTGTATTGGTCCCAGGACATTTCCACTATGATGCCAAAGCCACCAATAACATGTAAGATGTATATTTTTTTGGGGTGGGAAAGTTTCGGTTTAAAAATCGGCACTGAAAGCTGCTGCATGGTATGTCAAAGGTGTTATTGTTAATATGCAATGGTTTTCAGTGATGATTTTCTACTCTAAGCAAAACCACTGTCATGACATAGGGGTGGAAGGTTTGGAAGTGGGTCTGCAGGCAGCTTAGAAGTTTCAAAATCTAGCAATCAAGGAAGTGTCGCTTTTCTGGCAGAAAATACTTGTGGGGCTGTGATTGCTTCTGTTGGTGCACCTAATATAAATTGACATGCTGTGTTATATGTAAGGGTAGGATATGGTTACAGGGCCTTTATAAAGATCTGATATAAGAATGTATTTTACTATGAACTGAAGTTACTTATCCTCAGTAACTCCAGTCAAGCCTGTCCTGAAAGTATGAATGTGATTAGTGGCTGCGAAGAAGTAACTCCAGTTGTTAGGATAAACTCATTTTTATATATCAGTCCATAGTTTTACAGCAAGTGCTAGTTTGTTCACATCCTCATCCACTGTGCACACCATCATCCATCTTATCCATACACACTTCTATCTTACATACAGGCAATAGTTTTCTTGTGTTATCTTATCACTGCCATGTCTATGATTCACTTAGACCTTTTTGTCTTGGCTGGTGAATGACTACTAAGAGTAAAAAAAATTGTTTTCAAATGTTTGTCAGTAGAAAAATAATTCCAATGTGTTGAACAATCAGTTTTGGGATGATATTTTTTAAAGTAGTTCTATGATGAACACTTAACCTGCAATCTAACAGAACTAATAACTATCTGACTGTATTAAATGTCACCATGCACTTTTTGGTGCATAGACTGCGTTGCTTCCTAGGTACTTGCATCACCCTAAATGTGACAGTACCTGGGTCTGCTGATAAAGGGTTCAAGCAATGAGACTTGTACTGTGTTATGGGGAGGGGAGCAGCACCGAGTCTCCATATTAAGGAAGTGGAGAAATTGTTAGGCCCTAAGTGATCTTACGCTAGTGAAGCTCTACGTGATCTTAAGGGTGACAACATCAGTTGTGTCTATGGTGTTCGCTTATTGTATACCACACACAAGGTACAGTATGTGTTGCCAGCTTATGCTTTTAGATAGCAGTTGCTGTTAGCTCTGTAGTTTCCTTTCTTTTAATTTGTAGGTTGGATTTAATTGACACTGTTAGTTTTAAAGATTAATTAAAATTAATCCTGCTCAACCTTCCTGATTTTTTTAGAATCTTTTCATGAAATTTGATCCTATGGATTCCTCTAAGCAATTTAACTCTGGTGTTCCTCAAAGATTTGCACACACAATGTTTAATTCATGTAGTAGGTGATTTCTTAATAAAAGCAGAGGACCTTTATTCCCTTTCACTAAATATTACATTAACATGCAGTTCTGAATGCCAATTTAAAATCACCCTACATTAATTAATTAAACAAACTTGTTTTTCATTTACTTACAAATAGAGTTCATCTACTTCCTGGTCCAGTTCTGGCACAAATCATGTAATGTGCCAAAGCATTGCATCCTGGGAAGGTTACATCTGGGAAATTTCATCTGTAATCTCATGAAATCTCAGGGACAGGCATTTCCCTCCCCTGAGATGATGTACATGGCCACATGTCCTGGTCACATGGTCCAGAGTTCTAGGTAAATGGAGAGATAGTAATCTGCCCTTAGTTAAAATGGTCACTGTCAGAAGACTGAGAAAGAAAAGAGAAATAAGGTATGCAAAGAATAAAGAGTCGGCAATTATCTAGAAGTATGTGTTTGTAGATTGTTATTACTAAACATTTCTAAAAGTGTGTTTGTTGTTATTTTAAAGGTATGGGTAAAGTTCCTCTTTAAGGAGTGCTTGTAAACTTCTGGTTTCAATTCATAGTTGAGTATATATAGTATATATAATTATATACACTTCTAGGTGCCTACATATTTTTAGCAGTTTACCCCCTTTTCCACCAGTAACAACGTCTCTTTATGTTCATGAGCAATAATAACATATTTCCACTGTCTTATACTGTATTTTATGTTCTGCCAGTGGACCAAGCAGATCCGTATGCCCATGCTGCAGCTTCCCACTTTGACCAAATGCTTCAAAGATTTGGGTCACCCATTATCATTCTAAACCTTGTAAAGGTAAGAATTTTTTTTTTTTAGACTAGTCAATTGTGAATAACATTTTAAACCATGCAATTAATACTGTGTTCAGTGCTGTTTCTTGCTTGTACAGTACAGGACACAGGCAGATTTAGAGACAACTGGGTAATATGACGGAATCATCAGGCAATTAGACACTGACCAGAGCTGGGGGCAGCCTCCTATAACCCCTCCCACAACCAACAATCCTCAGTGTTTTGCTAGTGTCCTTAGGTGATGGATGCCTCCTCTCTACTGAGGGAGATATGTGTAGTTTATTTACCTTGTAACGTGATTCTTTAGTCAGGCTTTCTCTTTGGATGCATCCAGTCGTGGTGGCAACCTTGCAAGTCAGTGCCCCAAAGCAACAGCACATTCCAGGAGTGGAAAATTGCCTGCGGTACTTTCTCAGTCTGCAGCAGCTGGACTCGGGGGAATGGCCTCTTCACCTCAATGGGTTTCGGGGCATTTGCTGCCACTGGGGAATGCCAAAAATGGATCTCCTGGCATTCAGACTTAACAACAAACTCAACAGGTGTGTATCCTGGTCCAGGGATCCAAGAGCATTCACAGTGGATGTGCTGGTGGCCAGTTGGATTAGTTCTTGCTAATCTATGCCTTTCCTCCCTTGAAGATCCTTTCTTGCCTCTGCAGGATTGAGGTGGATTGCATCCCCGCGATCCTTGTGCCTCCCATCTTGCACCAAAAGAGTGTTGTTTGCAGACATGCTTTTGGATGCTCGCAGACTCTGCGTGGCCACTTCCAGAATGTCCAGATCTTCTGTTCTAAAGCACGGTATTCCATCCTGCTTTGCGGTTGCTATCTTTGACAGCTCGGCTGTTAAAGCCCAGGTCTTGAGGGATACAGGTCTGTCAGACTCCGTTATTCCTACACTTTTCCAGGCCTGGAAGTCCACCACTCGCAAGGTCTACCATCGTACCTAGAGGGCTTACTTACAGGCAGTACTATCATCACAAGGATAAGGTCTTTCTCGGGTCTAGAGATTAATTTTTTTGGTCATGGTGGTGTCTTAGTTTCATCTTAATCAGGGCATCGTCCTTCTCTCTTTTTCTCCTGCTCCAAAACATCCCATGGAGGTATCTCTGCACTGCTTGGATGCGGTACGGGCTCTCTGAGTTTATTGCATTGACTCTTTGTCCTTCCTGAATGACCTTGCATAATTTCTTGGTGAATTAGACAGGTTACTGTGCATGCCTATTCTGTTAAAGGTAGGGCCCTGCCCTTTTCGCATCAGGCATCTACTAAGTTCTACCAGGTGGATGCCCCGACCTCTGCTTATGCTGGCTTTGATCATAAGTTGATACAGGCTGCTAACTAAATTAGAGTTTCCCCTTGTCTGTTATGTGGGCCTGTTGGCTGTTTTCTGCTGTGTTGCTAACCCCTCTGTTCTATTACTTTTGGAGGTCCGAGCCGTTTCTGACTCTGCCTGTGTTCTGTAGTGTATTATCAAGAAAACTGGATTTTTGACTTACCAGTAAAATCCGTATCTTGGCATACAGCATAGGACACAGGACTCTCCTCTTTATGCCCTCTATTGTTTGCTACAAAACTAAGGATTCTTAGGAGTGGGAGTTGTTATGAGGGTCCTCACAGTCAGTATCCAGTCAACTGATAATACCTGCATATTACTCAGTTGTCTCTTGCTATATTAGTGTCCTGAACTGTACTATAATATGTTCTCACTATGAGACAGATTTACAATGGTTAGTGGAAACCACTCTCTGAACGACATACCAGTGATTAATCCATACTGAGCCTGCCTTTGTACATGTCATTAATAAATTGCATGATGCGGTTTTTGAGCCTGCAGTATCCTTTAGAGCCTTAGTTCTCAACTGGTGGGTCGTGACCCAAAAGTGGGTCGCGACCCCTTGTTCAGTGGGTGGCCATATGCCTTCCACTTTTCTAGGTGAGAGGCTACTCAGCCTCCCCCTAGCGCTGTCCATTCTTACACCAAGCAGCCATTCAAAATATGCTGCCCGGTGCCAAGTGTCGACTCTAGGTGGGCTAGGGGTATGGCCACGAGTGAGCTCCATCCATATGTACATTGTTTATACTGTAGCTCCTTTGCATGGCCTGTAGAGATGCCTGGACTGGAGTGACATCACATTCTGGCTCCCAGCTACTCTACAGGCACACATGGGAGCTGTGCAAGCAATGCACATATGAATGGAGCTCCCACTGCCGTGCGTTCCATTGCGATACGAATTAGGTCTCAACTTAGTGACCGAGGACAAATGTGGGTCCTGAGGTTACACAGGTTGAGAACCGCTGCTTTAGAGTGTTCTTTGCAATTTTGTACAGACAACATTTAAAAGAACACCGCAGGCTCCACCTAACACCTGATCAGAGACGATCCTAATAACATGACCTGTGTAAGTAATTTAACCTAATTTCTCCTCCTAGCACTTTTTACCTCCATAAAGAGGTTTTGTTTTTTTTCCTTTTATCAAGCTACGTGGAGAATATGCAAAGCACAACACCAAGCTTAATAAATGTGCTGATATTTTCCTTTAAAAATTCAATGCTATGACCAAATGGTTGTGCTAGGCCATACTGCTTTTTATAACCCAACCCCTATATGTGCTTCGTTATTTTGTCAGTTACAGAGATAACAATAATAACTTTAATTTCAATAATTATGTTTATGGAAGGACATCAAGCTAGACTAGAGAGTGAGGCCATTAAACATGTACTCTATGGCTCAAACACATGGAAAAGGTGTGTTTTATTAAATGAACTAATTTTCTGGGAAGTTTCTGTTTCTGTTCTCTGATCCAAGATTTAATATCCAGGTGTTAAGTAACATGGGGAAACCAGTTATCCTAGTGGACACATGCTGTATGCTCAAAGTGTGAAAGCATTCTATAGATTAAGTGAACCTTGCTCCTCATAGTGTCATAAGGATGTTTTTTAAAAGGAGGAGGCTTTAATTAAACATCGATATGTCAGTTGACTATGCCTTTTGTGCTTTCCAACACATTCTAATGTATTTTGTAATAGCATGGTAAAGGGAAAGGTAGTGCTCCTTTAGTAACAATTCATACTCAAATTTAAGAATCTGATTTCTATGTTACCTCTACCTTTCATTCCTTTTCATTTTTTTTTTTATACCGCCTACATTTAAAAGTAAGATTATTTTACTGGATATTTTCATGTTAACCACTTTATGATGGCCTATAACAAATCTGTATATCTATGTTCTTTCTGTCTTTCTGTTCTTTCTTTCTGGGTGATTAAACCAGTAAACGGCTTGCAATTTTCTATGATTAAACCTATTCAGAATATGAGGATACCAGAAACCATAGGGACTATTGCGATTTAGCAGGCCATCCATTTGCAATAATGCAGCACAGTGGCGTAGTGGTTAGCGCTTCTGCCTTGCAGCACGGGGGGTCTCTGGTTCGAATGCCAGCCAGGTCACTATCTGCAAGGAGTTTGCATGTTCTCCCTGCGCTTGTGTGGGTTTCCTTCAGGTACTCCGGTTTTCTCACACACTTCAAAGACATGCTGGAAGGTTAATTGGCTTCTCTCTAAATTGGCCATTGTATGTATGCATGTGTGATAGGGACCTTAGATTGTAAGCTCCTTGAGAGCAGGGACTGATGTGAATGTGCAACTATGTAAAGTACTGCGTAAATTGTCGGCGCAATATAAATACGTGTAATAAATAAATAATGCCATGGGTGGTGCCAAGATAAAGTAATGAGTGATTCAGCTAATGAGCTGCTTTTACTATGTCTTTTGGCAAACAAAGTTTTATTAAAGATTTCAAAAACACAAGAAACAAGGTATAAAGTGCAAACACAGTATTAGCTGGTCGCAAAATCTGTGTGCAAGGAATATAAATACAAGCATCATAAATAAGTAATATACTTCTGTAAAACTATGAAATATCATTAAAAAAACAGAAGAAAAGAGGCTGACCTGAATGCCAGCGACTAGAGGTAAGAGAAAGCAAAAGCAGAAGACTAAGGAAAAAGAAACGGAGAATAGAGAGAGGTGGGAAAGGGAGATAGGGAATGACCAAGAGAGAATAGACAAAGAATAGGCAGACCACGGAGGGGGACATGGCAAAGGAAGCCACTACTGGGAAAAGAGAGCGAAGGCTCAACCCTGAAATTATCTGAGACACTAAACATTACCCAACCAGACCAGGTTTTTTTGTGAAGTTCCATCTAGTTTTTATCTTCTGCTATCAGGCCCTCTATGTGCATTATCTCATTCATAACAGCTGCCCAGTTTGCCAAGGAGGACCTTTGATGATTTTCAGCACCTGGAGATAGAGACTTGTGCAGCAATTAGACACAAAATATATATTTTAATTGTAGGATATACAAATGTAGGATAATATTTGTAGGAACCCTGAAAGATGGACAAAAGAGCAATTTCAGGTGTAAGCTTGAGAGGCATACTGTATATTGTAGATTTGCGAAGTCATTTTAAAGTGAACCTATTAAGATAAAGCCTATTGTTGCCTTTAAAGCAGAATAGCCATGTCTTGTCTGCAGTGTACCTTAGCCAGTAATGAAAGCTTCTAGGCAAATATTTCACACACTAATCAGGATCGTATCAAGAGCACAAAGACCATCTGTACATTGGCAATGGGATCGCTGCTTTAACTATTTAGGAGGGCCACTCTGGGACCCTTAGCAAACTCTGCCAAACTAGAGTGTCCAAAACATAATGTACAATGCCAGCGTTTGTAAATTTTCACTTCTTACATGAGATTCATGCCCGAAGTAATTGAAGTATATAAGATGAACCTCTAGTGGGAACATGTTGAGGCTGGCTACCATGTTCTTCAGAATGTTGTCATAGTCTAATGTTTCTTAAAAAGAAAAAAACATTATGAACTTTGTACTTCCTGAAAGTAAACATTTGAGTTCCTTGTTCAGTAATAATATTTATTTGAGGTTTTTGTTTTTTTGCTGCCCTACTTAAACTGAATAAATCTAGGATGCCTCTGAAGAAAACTT